TACCATCCCTGCATTCTCTCCAACAGCACTTGGACTCCTTAGGCCTGATAAGTTAGAAACGTTTGGCTTGGATTTTTCTTCAGCCACAACGACTTGAGAAACCAAATGCAGATGGAAAATACTCTGTGGATGTTGTGAAGCCCAAACCGTCTGAAAATAGTTTGAATGCATTTCCAACCCTCGGCAGGCAGCTGTTTTCCTTCACACTAGCCGGCTCGGTGCATCTCCGTTCCCAGGGAGAGTGTCTCTGTGGCCTCAGGCCTTCCTGGCTCTTTCCACACTGGTAATTAGGAGGCAGGTTGTTCCTGAAGAGGAGACTCCACATATCTGAAGGCACAGTCATGGAGTAACTATGTGAGAATTGCTCTCTTGTGATATTTGTTTCAGGAAGTTCTTTCTGCAGGATCTTTCCAGTCTCATGAAAGAAAAAGAAAAATGCCCTGGCTTGGATCTTGGCTCTGTTCATGTGACTTTCCCGATCTTGCCCACAGCACACTGACAAACACCACCTATGTCCCAACAAGCTAGTTCCCAGATCACCGTCCATTCATAACCTCGGGCTGCCATCAGAACCCTCATTCCTTCCTTCTTGTGAACAAGAATGCTCCATTTGGCTCCAAGAAACAGGCTGACATGACCACAGGGCTGGTGAGCTCTGCAATCATTCCACCTGAAAGCAACACCATCAGAACGATCGGGTAGTTCTTCTTGGTGGATTTTAACAGCACAGGGCTATTTATTGTTGCCAAAGCGTAAGTGGGAATATTCTGGGAAATGCAATTTAATTTCCAAGCTTTGGACTGGTTTCATTGTTGGTCATTTCAGTGCTTCTTAGACCAAATTTATCGCCGATTATTCTGTCTGCACCAGATGTGGTAGGACTTTGTCATTTTTCCATTTGGGGAAATTCTTTTTTTAGAGGGCCATTCATAGTTCATCCACCAGTTCAATCTCATTTTCATTCTGTTTTGACATATTCATGATCACACTGAAATTGCTCCTACTTGATTTATAACGAAGTTCTGTAATTGAGCAGCTAGCTCAGAAAGTCCTGAAAAGTGTAGACGGTGTTCTCTGACCCTAGGCCAGGAGAAGAAAAGAGCAATCCCAGATAAAGGCCATTTCTCTGCAGAGGAAGAGCATTTATTGAAGAAACTGTCCCCTGGGATGGCTCTCTGTTAGTGTATCTTTCCACATCCAAGTTCATCCCTTGGCATCTGAAGCTCTGGACGTTGAGAACGGGGACAGAGGAAGGCATGCTTCCGAACTCCTGCCTGGTCTGGAAGTGGAGGGGCTGAATTACAAAAGCTGAATTACAGCCTTCACTCGGCACTCACACGGCAGGGACCGCTGTAGAGCTGTCTTCTGTGAGACCCCAGGGCTGCCTGTCTTTCACTGTCTTGTTTGTATCTGAGACCCTGTGAAAGACTAAAACAAAACAAACCAACATCAGCAACCCTCACTGATTTGAACAGTGTCCGCTCTTAGACCTCTCCATCAGCTTGATAGGTTGTTCAATGTGTCAGCTGAAGTCTCTAGGCGGGCCTAAGGGAACTGCGCCCTGACCTGCCGCTGTTCTTCCTGTGACACCCATGCTTTCTGTTTCTGTGGACTGGAGTGGTGGGCACTGCTCTGGCTTGGAGGGGGACATAGTCCAGAAGAATCCCACTGTCAGGAATATCACGATCAGTAATGAAATGGTGGGTATAGGACCAGCTCTCATTTCACAGGCGTCCCCATTACGGAAAGAAGGCCTTGAGTCAAGCCCCGAGTATTCTCTTTCCCAGTAACAGTTGTAGGCGCATTCTAAGAACAGTTGAAAGCTGTTGTAGTTTAGTACTGTCAGGAAAAGGTCGCGCCCACTTGTACATTTGTTCTTATTGAAGGAGAGATACTGTGGGTGTCTGTACGAAGAGCTTGGGAGGATTTTTCAGGAGCTGATTTGACATGAAGTTTATTGAAACTTTTAAAAAGATATGTGTATTTTATGTGTATGAGCATGCTTGCATGTAAATGTGTGTACCATGTGCATGCAGTGCCCTTGAAGGCCAGAAGTACATGTAGGATCCCCTGCAACTGAGGTTACAGACAGTTTTGAGCCATTACCTAGGTGCTGGAAACTGAGCCTGGATCCTCTGCCAGAGTAGCCAGTGCTCTTAACTACCAAGCCATCTCTTTGGTTCTGACTGAGAGTTTTAGATGCCATTTAATTACACTCAGCCGATTCTACACAGTATTCCCAGATGGTTTGTAAACTATGTGCTTTAGGAACTCTTGACCTCTTTGCCCAGATACAGGTTTCTGGAACCCTTTCTACAACCATGAATGATAACCAGGAGGGGAGAGACAGAGGCTTGGAAATGTGCATTCATAGCAAACACCAGAGGGGATACTTGGGCATAGTCAAATTTGAAAACTACTAGTCCAACTCTTTGTCACTTACACCCTGGAAAGACCTTTGGCCAGACCTCAGGGTCCCTCAGGGTTATGCAACCAGCTGGTAAAAGAAAAAGTATCCCTTTCTTTGTAAGTGGGGGATTCGTCTCATTGCTTCCTGTCCTACCATCCTAGGCTAAAACAGCCCCCAGAACTTATAATTTACATCACAGTCTTTAGTTACTTTGTAAAGTGTCCATGCAAAACACACTACTCCATCTTATAGTCTGTATAATTCACATTCCTCTTTCTCAATTTATGAGTATCCAGATTCTTCTGAACAGTTTCATCTCTAAGACTATGATTATGTCTGGGTTTTCATTGTCTTTCTTATCTCACAAAGCATCACAGATAACTAGAACCTCAGTCACCTGAAAAAATAAAAGTGCATCCGTATCGCCGCTTATACAGTTGTGTATAAGTTGCATGTTGGCTGCTGAAATAGCGAGGGCTGCTTTCTGTGGCCTGAGAAGTCACGATTGTTCTCTGCATAGCCCCCACACAGTCTGTGATCTTACTGTCTGGGGTATTGACTTCCACCAGAGATGCCTTTCCTGTGAACCTGCTTAAAAACAAAAACACAAACAAAAGGCAACAGAACAGGGCAGAAAGAACAGGAACAAGGAAGGATATTAATATTTCAACTTCATAGTGGAACAGAAGCAAACCAAAGGTGCATACTTAAGGATTCAAGGGGGCAGCACTTCCCTCCCTCTGTCCTTACCAGTGTCCCTGAGGTCTAGGTGACCTTGGGCAGTGTCAGCCATCTGAATTCAATGGGCAGAATGGTATCTCTTCTGTATCAGGGCATGTACTGGCCTGAAGAAGGTGCTGTTTCCCAGGGAAAGGCCTTAGGTTCCCCCCAAGAAATGCATAGGGCCATCACACAGAGGAACAAGTGTTGAGCAAGCCGCTCCCTCCGCGTCGCTGCCCGTCTCTGATTATGTTCCTTAAGATTTTTATTTAGGATAACTTTCAGCACGACTTTGTAAAGGTCAGATATGAAAGAGAAAACTTGCTAATCTTGTGACAAACAGTTTATACTCCGGGTGAGGGATACCCTCTCCCTATCAGACTGTGGAGAAATTCTAAAAGTAAACAGCACAGTTGCTTACTGGGAGGAACATATGGGCGCAGATGTCGGCTGGAAGCAGCATATGGTAGCAAGATGACAGTGGCATGTTCAGCGAAAGGGTCATCACTAGCCTTCACCTTCCCTGCCACACCGGCAATGCGGAGCCCCATTTCAGAACCAGAGTGTTCTGGCTTGAAAGTGAAATCTACACATGTGTGAACATGTGTCGCTGGGGGCTTGTTAGAGGGCTGAATGTTGGAGATGGTCAGTTACGGGGTGTGGGAAGGGCTGTTACTGTCTATTTAAAGTACAGGGGTAAGGCATCAGTGTGGAGGAGTCCATGAAGCCTTTGTCTTGTTAAAAGAAGGTTTGAGTCTGTTCTGAAGGGCATTGGTTACCTCTCGAAGATACACCCATACAAGCATGCCAACAGAAGGCACACGGATTCCAAACCCATGCGAAGCACTAGAAAGAACTGTATTCATGCCAGACTTGGACGTAGGCAAGGCTTCTATCACCACACAAACCAGATAATGGAAAGGTCTGCATTGCTCAATTGCCTTTTATTTGCTAGTCTTTAAATCTAGCACCTTTTTTGGGGAGGTAGGGGCAACATGTTTGTCGTATATATACAGAAACATGGATAAATTCAGGGGAAATCAACGGATTTTAATCCCCATCTTCTCCTCCAAAAGTCCTGTTGGAGAGAAGAAAGCCGTTGCTGTGAACCCTCAGCAATGTTTTCTCTTCCCTTTGATAGACACAAGTCCGTCCACGTGGTTTTCTGTTTGTTTGTTTGTTTGTTTGTTTGTTTTAGTTTTTCTAGTGCATTTTCTTCCCCTAAGAATAAGGCAGCAACATGTTGACCTAGTTGCCATTCTGTTAAACACAAAAGCCTCATGGTGTCCCAGTAGTCCAGCTCTAAGGAAGACATGTTTATTCTCTTTCAAAACATGCTAACTTTTGACATTGTAGGCCCATAGCTCTAAATCAACAGGCCCTGGGATTTCTGACCCAAACGTGAAAGGGGTTTCATATGTGGGTGAAAAATGAGGACAGGTGGTTTTTAAGAACTGTGAAACCTAGGCCAGGCAAAGACTCAAGCTTTGTTCTGAACAATAGACTCTTTTGTCCAAGGAGGTCAAGACCTTTCTTATTCATCCTTAGTATAATTCAAGGTATTACTTTTCCCCAGTTCAGTATATAAATTGTAAATTGTTGTTTTATTACTAGAGCATGTCAAAAGGACAATGTGGGCTGCTGGGTATGGCATAACACGAGATCAGGGACTAGAAATCAGGGGTGGGAGCAAAGAGTTTGAGTGTTTAATGTCCTGCCCTGGTTATCAGATGCCTGCTATTTTGAGGGGTGGTGTGGGGGGATGGTAAGACTAGCCAGCAAGTCCCTTTTCTACTTGGAATCTTAGTGTAGTTCTGGGCTGGGCATGTCTTCAGTAAAATAGCTAATGACTGCTTTTTAAAACTCCTAGCTGTCTGCCCAGTTGTTACAACACCCTCTGGCTCAGTGGGCAGCTTTTGCTCCAGACAGTCCCAGGTGCTCTGTGGGTACCTTGGTGAGTATACTTGTCCACTTTATTCCTCCTTTGACATGGCGATACCAAGTCTTTTGTGTCTGTCTCCAGTGGGGAACTGGTCAGAGGGGAGACAGGATTTTGAGAAACAGCTTGTAGGTGAGCAGTCACCAAAGTGCCTGGAATTTTCTAGTCGATTTCATGAGAAGAACTGATGACTAGCTTGGAAGTGACACACTGCCCCATGTGCAAGAATGACTACCAGGTGTGAGCTGTGTGTGCCAGGGATCACAGAGGGATTTAAAGTATTGATCCTTTGATCCCCACAGAGGCTATTTTCTGAAGGGCCCAAGATCTAGTAAGGCCTGGATGTTAATGGGAGGTTCCTTTTGCAGAGTTTATTTGTGTCTGCGTTCCTATTTTTGACACAGTGTAGTTTAATTAATGTTCCTTGTACTAAACCAAAATGAAGGGAGATTCTTCCTCCCCTTAAAGTGAAAGAGGGAGGCTCCTGAGAGATCCATGTTGATGCTGTCACCTATAACCTTCATTGCTACATGAGAAAATGACTTGTCGTAGGTTAGTCCCTTAATTACCTGAACCTGGAGACCAAGTGTAAGCCCCTCAGCTCCACATGTTAGAATGAGGGGCACCAAACCCGCAGGTGTCTGCTACGTTCTGATTCAGAGCATCACCTGTTCCCTTAGCATTGATTAAATGCCTACTGTGTTCTGGGCAGTGAGTCCACAGAAAAGATTTCAGAGAGCCAACACTCAAGGAATTCAGTGGCTGACTTGTCCCTGAGCCATGCACAGGAAGAAAGAAGCAGACCAAGTGAGTTAGGACTCTTGAAATGTACGTGGAGGTCCTGCATTGACCCAGAGGGAATGGTTTTACTGCCCTGGCTGAAGCCTGATTCTTTGGCTCTCCTGTTTTGCAACTTGACATGCCTGGCCTCTTAGGAACTACTGTGACTTAGAGTGGCCGGAGCTCAGGGTTTCTAGCACAAAACAAAACAATAGCCCCAGTTCTGTTAAGAGTATGTGTTTATCACTTTGTTTCGGTGTTGAAGGCCTCACGGTGGCTAGAGGGAACAATGGGAATAAACACAGTAAAATGTTCAGTCTGTGCTGGGGTAGCTCTGTGTGAGACAAGATTTCATTTGGTTTCTAAGTTCTGAATTTGTACTTTCTTCCACTCTCTAAAGCAAAGAGTTAAATGTGCTATTTCCTGCCACTCACTGAGCAGTGGTTTGGGAGGGAAAATGGAAACAAGTGAGTAAAGGCAGACCCTTTGTCAAATCCCCTCTACATCCCTGTCACCCAGGTCACACCACCCATTCTCGGACGGGTTAATGACAGGAGATGGGGGACAGTCTCTTTTTTTTTTTCTTTCTTTCTTTCTTTCTTTCTTTCTTTCTTTCTTTCTTTCTTTCTTTCTTTCTTTCTTTCTTTCTTTTTCTGTCTTTCTTTCTTTCTTTCTTTCTTTCTTTCTTTCTTTCTTTCTTTCTTTCTTTCTTTCTTTCTTTCTTTCTTCCTTTCTTCAGGAAATTGTGGTTTGGAGGAGTGAGTTCCTTGTCCTTGTCCCAGAACTGGCTGATAGTGGCGCTGACATTGGAATCCAGGTGTGACCTGGCTTTGCTCCACCCTAGCCACGGGCTCCAAACTCACTCCTTCCTGCTTTCCTCTCATTCATTTTGTAACTCCTTTCCCTCCTGCCTTAGGTGACTTTCCTCCTTCTGCCCAGCAAGCAGGCCAAGCCCTTTCCTGGTTCCTGGAGTAGTTTTTCTCCCTAGATTCTCCTGTTTTGTTGAAGTTATTTTTCAGTTAGCAGTTGCCTAGAGCTTTCCTCTTCCTTTAGTGAATATGACACATGAAACTCCAGCACTCCTTGGGGAATCTGGTTTTGTCCTGAACATCTCTGAGAGTAAAGGAGGGCATGAGGCACAGATTTGGCTAGGTTCCCATATACTGGGAGGCTTTCCCACCCCACATGGCAGACCCCTCTGAGGTCTTCCAGGCCAGACCCCTTAACAGGGTGCCAGGAAATGACTCAGTCAATAAAGCACTTGCCTCCTACTCAGGAGGACCTGAGTTCTATCCCCAGAACCCACGTGGAAGTGCCAGGCATAACGGCACACTTGTAATCCAGGAAGTTGGAGACAAGGGATCCTTGGGCCTCACTGGTCAACCCTTCTAGCCTAATTGGTGAGCTCCAGACCAATGAGAGACCCTATCTCAAAAGAGCTGGTCATGGGGATCTCTCTCTCTCTCTCTCTCTCTCTCTCTCTCTCTCTCTCTCTCTCTCACACACACACACACACACACACACACACACACACACACACACACGGCAGGGGTAGGGGGGTTTGGAGGGAGGGCAGATTTCTGTGCAGTGCACTCTACTTTTATTTTGTCTTAGAAATAGTAACTGAGTAAAAACATGAGTGTCTGCCAGGTGCAAGCATCCAGGATCTGAGTGCATTTCTCTCCATGCCCGTGATTCAAACACTCATTCAGTGAAGTCGGCCTGTGTTGTCCCTGTCACTTTGTTTGAACTATCTCCATTCCAAGGAGATGTGGGGAGCAGATAGCAGCAGCGGGGTGGGGTGCCTCTTCCTTTCTTTACCAGGTAATATGGGTGCTGGTGACATGTAGGGGTCTGACACTGGTGACAGGCTGACCTACCTGATGCTTCCTCGAGCAGTCTGTGTTATTCCCATGCTGTCACAGACTGTGATCTTGAAGAGCCATTTTCTTGTGTTGAGTTCGTCATCCCCAATAATACATAAAGGCGAGGTTAACCTGTCTAAGCGTAAAAGCTGGTCGCCCACAAATCTGTCCGTCACTCAGGCTGTACATGGCTGAGGATGGCTATGGATGCAGCTAAATGCAAACATACTTAAAATTTTATGCGATTTTTTTTTGCAATGTTTAAAAATCCAATTGTGTGTTTCTCAAGCGTGAACTTTGTAGATGACATCTTTTTGCAATGTCAAAAGGTTGGATGTACCTAATTATAGAGGTGGCTGGGTATGGAACCATGTCTATCATCTTGGCACTAGGGAAGCAGAAGCAGGAGAATCACGAGTTTGAGGCTAGCCCGGGCTGGACTCTGTCTAAAACAAGGAGGCAAGAGGAAAGAGAGGAAAGAAGGAAGGAAGGAAGGAAGGAAGGGAGGGAGGGAGGGAGGAAGGGAGGGAGGAAGAAAGAGAGGTGGGGAGGGAAGGAGGGAGGGAGGGAGGAAGCAAGGAAAGAAGGAAGAAGGAAGGAAGGAAGGAAGGGAGGGAGGAAGAAAGAGAGGGGGGAGGGAGGGAGGAAGGAAGGAGCTGGAATTCCAAACTTAGATAAGCAGTAGAGATAGCTGATAGTCTTTCTGTGAATGCCTGGATTAACAGTCACAAGATGAACTCAGTATTTAAGGATTTAGTACAAGGTTTTTCAGTGACTCCGTTAAGATTTAAAGATGGGGGCTGAAGGGATGGTTAGGGGTTAAGAGCCCTTGCTGCTCTTTCAGAGGCCCCAGTTTGGGTTCCCAGTAACAACCCAGTGGCTCACAACCATCAGTAACTCCAGTTCCAGGGGATCTGGTACTTCTTCTGGCCTCTAAGGTACTGAGCACAAACACAGTACAGAAACACACATGTAGGCAAAACACTCACACACATAAAATCAAATCAACAAATCTTAAAAAACAAAGATTGAAAGGTGGCATTCGAAGCATAGCCTGTCTGTGTATGTCCCAAGGCATCTTACAAAGCAACTTCCTGGGGCCTGTCCCCGACCAGCGGAGTCAGAAGCACTGGTGGGGTTAGCTGGTAGGTTGCATGCTCTAAACAGACTGCAGGTGCTCCTGATGTCACTGAAGTTTGCAGCTGTGAGAGCCAGTGCATGCTCTGATGATGCACGTCTGTTTACTCACAGACGCCCATGTGGAAGGCTTCAGATCCAGCAGGGCCTCTGTTTGATCAGCTGCTGCAGCAAGGGAAGGCCCCTGAATCCGGAGCCCATTCAGAGTTCTCACTATGTGCCTCCCATTTTCCAAAGTACCTACAAACAACGAGGTAGACCTGTTACTGGTAGTATCATGCAGAGTCCTTGCTCCTTGTCTGCCATAGGGAAGGGCCTTCCTTGAGTGTACAGGGAAGTGAATTGGGCACATGGGGTAAGTAGCATCTTGGCATCAGACAAGGGAGTAATTCCTTCATTCCAGTGCCTTCAACTAGGCAACTGTGGGCTCTGAAGGAGATTCTTTTGTATTTTATGTGTATGAGTTTTTTATTTTTGTCTTTTTTTCCTGCGTGCGTGTGTGTGTGTGGGGGGGGAGTATGTGCGTGCACACACATGTACAATGTGCATGCAGTGGCCAAGGAGAACAGAAGAGGCTCTTGAATGTTGGAGCTGGAGTTATGACAGTTCCAAGATGCTATATGAGTGCTGGGAACCAAACACGGCTCCTCTGCAGGAGCAGCAAGCTCTCTAACCACTGAACTACCTCTTTAGCCAACAACGGGTGTGAACTCCACTGTCTGGACCAAGCTAAGCTTCTTCTGGTACTGAACTTTTCACTTTCCAAACACTATTTGTCTTAAAGTAGGTGAGAATCTGACCAAGCTCAGAAAGTATGGTCATGATTTGACTTGTGCAGCTTGTGCCCCCCAGGATTCTGGTGTGAGTTTTGAACCACTCAGTTCTCTGAATCTTATCCTCTAATAGGACAATTTCAGTCCTGGTTTTACATCTATTTTTGGTCCTCATACTGTTTCGAGAACTGCCCAGTTCTCCTCTCAGGACTTACCTCCCTACTGAGGTGTGAGAAGGAGAGCCGAGAGGGTCAATTTTACTCCCCAACAAGGCTTTAATGGAAAGATCTCTACAGTAACTACAGGTATCAATAGAATCCTCAAGTAAATGTCTAATGCTGGCAGCAGTCTGGGGGAAACCAATGAGATACTTATGAGACACTAATCTACTCACCAGCACTTACTGAGTCTCTGCCCTTGGCACCAATGGAGCCATGATATTGCCACCAAGTGGATACCA